AGTGGGGTGTTGAAATCCCCCACTATTATTGTGTGAGGTGTAATGTGTGTTTTGAGCTTTAGTAAAGTTTCTTTTATGTATGTAGGTGCCCTTGCATTTGGAGCATAGATGTTCAGAATTGAGCGTTCTCCTTGGTAGTTTTTTCCTTTGATGAGTATGAAGTGTCCTTCCTTATCTTTTTTGATTAATTTTGGATGAAAGTCGATTTTCTTTGATATTAGAATGGCTACTCCAGCTTGTTTCTTGGGACCATTGGCTTGGAAAATTGTTTTACACCCTTTTGTTCTGAGGTAGTGTCTGTCTTTATTACTGAGGTGCGTTTCTTGTATGCAGCAAAATTCTGGGTCTTGTTTGTGTATCCAGTCTGATAGTCTGCGTCTTTTTATTGGGGAATTGAGACCATTGATGTTAAGAGATACTAAGGAAAAATGATTGTGACTTCCTGCTATTTTTGTTATTAGGTGAAGAATTATGTTTGTATAGTTATCTTCTTTTGGGGTTGTTGGAAGATTACTTCCTTGCTTTTTCTAGGTTGTAGTTTCCCTCCTTGTGTTGGCATTTTCCATCAATTATCCTTTGAAGTGCTGGGTTTGTGAGAAGATACTGTGCAAATTTGGTTTTGTCATGGAATATCTTGGTTTCACCATCTATAGTGATTGAGAGTTTTGCTGGGTATAGTAATCTGGGCTGGCAATTGTGTTCTCTTAGCTTCTGTATGATGTCAGTCCAGGCTCTTCTGGCTTTTATAGTCTCTGGTGAGAAGTCTGGTGTAATTCTTATAGGTCTGCCTTTATATGTTACTTGACCTTTTTCCCTTACTGCTTTTAGTATTTTTTCTTTGTTTTGTGCATTTGATGTTTTGATTATTATGTGACGGGAGGTATTTCTTTTCTGGTCTAGTCTATTTGGTGTTCTGTAGGCTTCTTGTATGTTTATGGGCATCTTGTTTTTTAGGTTAGGGACGTTTTCCTCAATAATTTTGTTGAAGATATTTACTGGCCCTTTAATTTGGGAATCTTCATTCTCATCTATACCTATTATCCTTAGGTTTGGTCTTCCCATTGTGTTCTGGATTTCCTGGATGTTTTCGGTTAGGAGTTTTTGCAGTTTTGCATTTTCTTTGACAGCTGTGGTCAATGTTTTCCATGTTATCTTCTGCACATGAGATTCTCTCTTCTATCTCTTGTATTCGGTTGATGATGCTTGCGTCTATGACTCCTGATCTCTTTCTTAGGTTTTCTGTCTCCATGGTTGTCTCCCTTTGAGCTTTCTTTATTGTTTCTATTTCCATTTTCAGATCATGAATGTTTTTGTTTAATTCCTTCTTTGTGTTTTCTTGCATTTCTTTAAGGGATTTCTGTGATTCCTCTTTAAGGGCTTCTATCTGTTTACTTGTACTCTCCTGTATTTCTTTAAGGGAGTTACTTAATTCCTTCTTATAATCCTCTATCATCATCATGAGAAGTGATTTTAATTCTGAATCCTGCTTTTCAGGTGTGATGGGGTGTCCAGGACTTGCTATATTGGGAGAACTGGGTACTGATGATGCCAAGAAACTTTGGTTTCTGTTGCTTATGTTCTTGCGCTTGCCTTTCGCCATCTGGTTAACTCTAGTGTTACCTGCCCTCACTGTGTAAGACTGGAGTCTGTATTTCCAGTTATCTTGCCTGTTGCAGAGCTCCTCAGAGTCCGGATGTCTCTGTGGTCTTTTGATCCTAATCTCCTGGGTGGAAGAACTCCTGGGACTCAGGCCACCTCTTGGATCTGGAAATCCTTCTGCTCTGGGTGCAGTGGTTCCTCTAGGATGGCTCAGGATATGATGTCTCCCAAGTGCAAACTGCCTTGGTGTCTGCTGCTCTGAGTGCAGTGGCTCCTCGGCTGCTCTGAGTGCAGTGGCTCCTCTAGGATGGCTCAGGATTCAGTATCTCCACAGGAGCAGACCAACTCTGTGTTGGCTGCTCTGAGTGCAATGGTTCCTCTAGGATGACTCAGGATTCAGTATCTCCACAGAACAGGAGCAGACCAACTCTGTGTCTGCCCCAGCCCAAAAGACCAGGAAGGGTCGGAAGGGAAGTGGAATTCTGGAGGGGTGGGGTTTGGGTAGCTGGTGTGTCCTGAATGTCCCTGGCTCCCAGATGTATCTGTGAGGCTTAGGGAGTGAGATGGAGTTCTTACCGGCTGCTCTGAGTGCAGTGGCTCCTCTAGGATGACTCAGGATTCAGTATCTCCTCAGGAGCAGACCAACTCTGTGTCTGCCCCAACCTAAAAGCTCCTTCTATCTTTATACTAGACACTTATTCACACTCACATGCACTCATGCACCCATGTGTAGACACACACACACACACACACACACACACACACACACAAACACATATCCACCTTGAATCCTTCCAGTCAGCCACTTATAAATTAACTGATTAATTATTTGTGTATTTATTGATTCTTTAACCACCAAAGTAGACATTATATTTATTTATTTCAATGAATCAATTTAAGTGTTGTTCCTTTGATCGACAGAGTTGAATAAACTATTGGCCATTGATTCATTCATACAATCATCTCTCCTATCAAGAGGTTGCATTCCCTATTCCTTTCACTAAGTGGTCTTTGAATTTCTCATTTGTTTGACTATTCATTCTCCCATTCATCCACCAATGGAATCATCTGTTGACCTACAAGCTGAATATATAATCCAGTGCTTAGTGTGTTCATTTCATTACCTCATGAACCTGTCCATACACTCATTTATCCATTGATTTTCTTATGTATTCATTTCTACATGCTTCTTTTGATGGTTTAATTTACTAATCTACCTACTTCTCTGTTATATTTCTGAGGACAAAGCTTCAAGTTATTAATATAAAGTTCCATGTTAGGTTATGGTGTGTGTGTGTATGTGTCTGTGTGTGTGTGTCTGTGTAGTTAATTCATTGCCAAGGTGAGAATTTCTCCTCTTCTCTCTCTCACACTCTTGCCTCATCACAGTTTCTCTCAAGTCTCCCTGTACAGTAGCCCTTTGCTGTCTATTTTTCTTTCTTTAGTGAAGCCCCGCTGAAATGTGGGTGAATCTCCTGGAGGAGAGATTTATAATAGTTTTAAACAAGGTCACAGAGAGACGGGCACTTAAGAATGGGACAGTTGTTTTTAATCCTCGAAAGCTCTCAGTTTCTCAGCAGAGTCTCCTTACTTCACTGTTGTCCTGTGTCGTTGGCTGATAGAATACAATATCATTGCTACAAAGCCGGTAAAGCAGGTCTACTTTCCTCCTTTCCTGTGCAGAGAAAGTCCAAAAGGAGATTGATCAGGTGATCGGCTCACACCGGCTACCCAACCTTGATGACCGCTCCAAAATGCCATACACTGACGCAGTCATCCATGAGATTCAGAGATTTGCTGATCTTATACCTATTGGTGTGCCACACAGAGTCACCAAAGACACCATGTTCCGAGGGTACCTCCTCCCCAAGGTGAGACCGCTTGCAATTCCTCATCACTACTCCATGAGCATATTCTATGTTCCTAATCACCAACCGCATCCTGTCTTGTGTTTTCTCTGCATTGTCTTAGGGACTGACTGCTTTCATATGGGAGTCAGGATATGTTAACATCTTTATCTCATAACTTCTCCTAGAACACCGAAGTGTACCCCGTCCTGAGTTCAGCTCTCCATGACCCACGGTACTTTGAACAACCAGACACCTTCAATCCTGAGCACTTCCTAGATGCCAATGGGGCACTGAAGAAAACTGAAGCTTTTATGCCCTTTTCCACAGGTGAGACAGAACTGTGATTCCTTTCCCAGACACTAGAGGGCAGGCCCACCCTCTGAGACACAAATAGCAATAGGTTCCTGTTTACTGAGTCTATCCCAGCTGCTTTGCCTGAACAATCCCATTTAAGCTGGCTACAGCCCCATGAGGGGAATCTTGATCTAAAGGAGCATCCAGGTCAGGAGGACTTTAGAAAGTATTTAAAGGCAATGCTAAGAAATTTAACACAGCGGCAGCTGAGGGTAAGGGGATAGATACCTGGCGGGGCCCATGCCAAAGATTCCTCCTGGTAAGTCACATCCTGTGACAGATCTGGTATAATGGAGGTTTATTTGGGGAAGAAAGGGGAGTGAGAACTTAGAAAAGGGGGACAGAGGAGGAAAGAAAGAATGACAGAAAGAGAAGCTGGCCAAGGAACACAGTGCGGGGGTTGGGGAAGGGGAGAGAGAGAGAGAGAGAGAGAGAGAGAGAGAGAGAGAGAGAGAGAGAGAGAGAGAGAGCAAGCGAGTGAGCAAGAGATGAGGGATAGAGTAGAGAAAGGGGGAGAAGGGATGTGGGGTAGAGAGCAGTCCTTTTTATATGATGTTGCTACTGAATCTGGCTTGCACCTGCCAAGCAATGGTGGCAGACGATGATGCAAGCTGTTGCTAGGTCCCTGGGAGAAGTTTGGTGGAATTGCCTGTAAAGCGACCTTTCTCCCTTCTCGTTTAAATAAAAATGGGGAACTAGGAATGGGTAGAGATGGAGCAGGTGTGTGGTTGTCATGTTTCAACTACGTCTTGCAAGGTTTGGAGTGATGGTCTGTTTTTAGAGACCCTAAGAAAATTGGGATGTTGGACAAGTCCTGGGAAAGTTGGATGTGTCACAGCATTCTAGGATCTGTGGGAGGTTCTTCTGCTAGGAATGGGCAGGCCCAGTAGAAAAGCCTGTGAGAGTAGACAGGAGCACCTGTGGGTAGCTTCTCTGGAACTGTTCTGGATGCAGATGATGAGTAAACATGTGAATTTGGCAGGATCCTGAAACACATATACACATTAGAGGGAGAAAATGAAGTTAAGTTTGTTAGGGACAAGACTATTTTCTTAGGTGTACCATTAAAACCCTAGGCCCATGGTCTTGGTAGTTGGGGGAGGGGAGACGCAAAACCAGGGGAATTGGGTTGGACCCCACCCTCTGGAATAGGTAACAGGTTGGGAAGTTAGGCTGTTGATTGACAGGGGCACTCATCCAGATGGAGTCCATTTGACCCAGGAGAGGTGAATCAGAGTATGCTTCCTGAAGCTTACAAGAGTCTTTTTAAGTTTACAAAAGAGATAAATTTTAGAAATGTGAATTGTAGTCTGTTTTGAAATTCCCATTGTAGAACAAGATATTAAATACCCTATTGTGTCATAGGAGAGACTTGGTAAACAATATTTGTGAAAAGCATGAACAGTGTTTAAGGTGAACTCAGGGAAGACAGAAACTTTCCATGGAGTAGAAGGAGCAAAAGGGATTTTCCCTCTCTATTCAGAAGACAGGATGTACATACATTTAGCACAATGAAAAACATCATTAAGTCTATAGTTAAAAGACAATCAAAAGAAACTCAACATCTTGAACTTGTGAGTGTGATAGTGGACCATATAGTGGTAAGTTGTATCAGAGTTAGGCTAGTAACTTATCAGAATTTCATTGATTAACATTGGAACTCTGAACTTTTGAAATACTAATATCATAGTAGCATAATGAGGGGAAGAAATCTGAAGAATTTTTGTTCCTTTTATGTATGTTAAACCACTTTCCTGTCACCATCCTAGTTTTTCACATCCTTCAACCTCCACAACTTGCATTTACAAAGCTCAAAACAGTTTCTTAGACCCGAAAAACTGTTTCTTAGATCCTCATAACTTAAGCTTTCAGACCCTCAGACCTTGCATAAAGTATACTCCTGTTTCCTCTCAATTATTTACCACGAGTTACAGGTGGTTGATCATTGGGAACAGCCACTGTAAGGTGAGTTCCTTTAGAGAAGGGAAAAGCAAAAATCTACATCTGAAACCTGTTTAGCTTTTAACATGAAGCTTGTGAGCAAGGCAAACCTGTTTGCCTTTCTAATAACAGATGTGGTAGTTTTAACTAGCTAATGAATTGACTAATGAGCTACCGTGTTTGTTGATTACCTTGGGGTAAGGATGCAGTTGCTTCTTGTCCTCTAGCTGTCAGGTTACAGATAGCTTAGTTTTCAATGTGATCAGAGACCTGAGAAGAATAAATTATAATCTAGATGCCATTTATTAATTAAAATGACTGATTAGTTCATAATCTGCTACCTAGAGAGTTCTCCCAGATTCCTCTGGGCTCCATGGCAACATGGCAGAGGCAGTAAATCCACCATGCCCAGAAGATGAGAGGCTTTTTTATTTTCCTTGTGGAGATGGAGCATGAGAGGGAACTATTAACTCTCTGGGTGTTCTCTGTCCACAGTTCAGGCTAGGACCTGACAGTAGACAAGGCAGTGGGGCAGTCTTGGCTAATGGTTGGGGTATAACAATCTAGGATAGTTCTTCATCACTGTACCTATATATTCTTGGAGACCTTGCAGTGGGGTGTATTACCATTAGCATTTGGGATTCTGTGTCTGTCATAATAAGTTTAAACATTTAATGTCATATTCAGCAGATCTCTGACAGGATTTAAGGCTAGTACCTATAAAGTACATCTGGGTTAAACAACTTATATCTGTTTTTATTTGTTGGCTCTAAACTATACCTAGCAAACATAAAACAGGAGGTTCAATGAAGCTTAATATTACAATTAACTGCATCAGTCCTTAGTATGCCTTTAAATATAATTTTGAACTCATTAAAGAATGTGGTCATTTATAAGGTAACTGACTGTCTATTTGTATTTAATTATAGTGGCTTTTGAGACTACAACCTGTTAGGTTTGAGCCTTAAAAAAAATCATGATTTTTTGAATTAAAACTCTTCTAGCATGAGAATGAAAGCTTTTAATCTTTAAACATAGTCTATAAAGAGAGTGGCAACTTTTTGACCTTAATAGGATATATCATTATAAAAATCTATAGCTTATAAAAATCTTAAGGCTATGTTATAGCTTAATAGCATAAGCAAAAGCAAGGCCAAACATTTTTTTTTTTTCGAGACAGGGTTTTCTGTGTAGTTCTGGCTGTCCTGGAACTCACTCTGTAGACCAGGCTGGCCTCGAACAAGGCCAAACATATTTTTAAAGCAGTAATCTATAAACTGTTCAATGCTGTAAAACTTCCAAAATAATATTAAAATACACTACCATTTAAAGAGTAAAAACATACAGCAATATTGTAAACCATTTGTCAAGACAGTACAGAAATCATACAAACATCTTATTGCAATTCAAAATACCATTGGAGACCTGCTTCCCAAGGCACATGTTGCTGTCCTTAATCAGGATGGTAGTGAAGCTATGAGTTCCCATAGCAGGGATTGCTGCCAGGTATGTGAGTACCCTTAGTCAAGATGGTGGTAAATCTATGGCTCTACCTTCTCCAGTCCTTAATAAAGATGGCAACTAGCCATGTGTTGGTTATATCCCAGAATGGAATCATGTCACATGATTTAAGTTTATCTGAGCATAGACTTTCAATTAATAACACAAAATTATGAGTTTTAACTACATCTAATAATAAGTCAATAATCCTGTAGGAGCAAGGCAGACAGAATGTAGGCCTGAGGCTGTTAGCTCAGGGAGGAAAGAGCTGTTTTGTGGCTCTGGAGAGGCAGAGCCAAATTTGATGTGACAAGCATTGGCAAAAAGAAAAATGCAGTCTCGGCATATGTGTAGGGCTGAGAACAGACAGAGATGGGCTCTGAGAGAGTGTAGGACCCCTGTGGGTATCCCCCAATGCTGACACATCAAGTTTCTGCAGGGTTAGGCTCATCCTCTCTCACTGAGGCTAGACATAGTGGCCCAGCCAGAAGACAGTATCCCACAGAAAGGCAACAGCTTTAGGGATAGACCCCGCTATAGTTGTTTAGGACCCACATGAAGACTGAACTACACACCTGCTACATATGTGTGGGGGTTGGGCGGATAGATTTTACCTTTGTATGCTCTTTGGTTGGTGGTTCAGTCTCTGAGAGGCCCCAAGGGTCCAGGTTACTTGACTCTGTTGGTTTTTTTGTGTGTTCTTATCGAATTTGGGACACTCAGTTCTTCCATAAGAGTTCCTGAGTTCTGTCCAATATTTGTGGATATCTGCTTCTGTTTCAGTCAGTTGCTGAGTGGAGCCTCTCAGAGGACAGCTATGCTAGGCTTCTGTTTGCAAGCATAACAGAGTATTATTAATAGTATTGGGGATAGATGTTTGCCCATGGGATGGTGAGGCCAGTTGTTACTTGGCTGTTCCCTCAGTCTCGGCACTATCTTTGTCCTTGCATTTCTTTTAGACAGGACAAATGTTTGACTGAAAATCTGTGAGTGGGTTGGTGTCCTTGTCCATCCACTGGGGTTCTGCCTGGCTACAGGAGGTGGACTCTTCAGATTCTATATCTCTATAACTATGAGTCTCAGCTAAAGTCACCTCCATAGCTTCTGGGGCCCTCCCCCATCCTAGGTCTCTGGAATTTCCTAGAGATTCTTTCTTTTCCCTCCTCCCCAGCAGCTGCAAATTTCCATTCATTCTCCTGGCACTCTCTCCTGTCTCTCTTCACACATGACCCAGGCGCCCCCATTACCCTCCCTATGCCCCATCCCACCCAGTTCCCTCCCACTCTCTACCTCCTCTGACTATTTTATTCCCCTTTCTATGTGAGATTCAAGCAGGCTTGCTAGGGCTTTCCTTCTTGTTTAGCTTCTTTAGGATTTTGGGGTATATCATTGGTATCCACCTGTACTTTTTGGCTAATATCCACTAATCAGTGAGTACATACTATACATGTTCTTTTGGGTCTGGGTTACCTCCCTCAGATGATATTTTTTAGTTCCATTTGCCTACAAAATTCTCTTCACCTTCCTACTTGAATTACAGGGTGATGGTCAAAATCATTGTTGTTTATGTCAGTAGGCAGGGATATATAAATGGGTTTAGGGATGTGACTGTCCAAAGGCTATACAGTGGATGGGTGCTCACATGGATCAATTTCTGTGTCCTCAGGAAAGCGCATTTGTCTTGGCGAAGGCATTGCCCGCAACGAATTGTTCATTTTCTTCACCTCCATCCTCCAGAACTTCTCTGTGTCAAGCAATGTTGCTCCTAAGGACATTGATCTCACTCCCATGGAAAGCGGTATTGGAAAAATACCGCCAACATACCAGATCTGCTTCTTAGCCCGCTGATTGGGCTGAGGCAGTCAGGTGTCCCCACTTCTGTTGAGAATGGCTCTGTCTTTGTGCCTCTGAGAGAACTGCTGGAAACCAGGCCATAGATTGCTGCTCACATCCTTCCTCCTACTGTGGTTCTCCAAAGCTCCAAGGCATGTTCTTCTTCTCTGTGAATGGCGCTGGAGAAATCAATCAACCGTCTTTCCTGATGTGTGAACAGAGACTTCTGGAGTCTACATCTCATGCTGAGTCACTTCCCTCTTCCTCCCAACAGTCCAAGTCCTCTCTTAAAAGCTCTCCATGCTCTGTGATTTGTGTTAATGGACTCTGTATGAGGTCTGAATTCTCTGTCTACAGACTTGCCTAGTATGTATGGTTCAGCTAAACAGAATCACATAGTGTGTGATTTTTGGTGTCTTGTGTCTTTACTTCACATAATATTATCTAGGTTTCTGTATTCTAAAGGCCACTGTCACACACCTTCATGAGTTTTTCTCGTGCTCTTTTTAGCATAGTCTTCCTGCATCTTTTGTCTAGGCAGAGGCCTCCTCAGCCCATGGCCCCTGAGCTACATGTTTCTGAACATTGACCTCAGGTTTCCTTATGTTTCTCCTTAAATCTCCCAAGAATCACACCAATCCCTGCATTAGTTAGGGTTCTCTGAAGAAACAATACTGACAGAAATAGTCAGTCAGTCAGTCTGTCTGTCTGTCTTGTCTGTCTGTTGTTCTGTTTCTCTCTCATCTATGTATATATGTTTATATGTATATGTCTATGTATCTATTCATCATGTATTTATATGTATGTATGTATGTATGTGTCATCTAAGTATCTATTCATGTATGTTTGTATGTATGTATGTGTCATCTACATCTATCTATCTATGATTCAACTCTCTATGGGATTTATTAGACTAGATAACAGGCTATGGCCAGGTAGTACAAAGATGATTGTCCCATAATGGAAAGGCTGAGAATTGGGAAGTTGTGGAACCATGAGGTTGTTAAATTTCCTCTGTTTCATGCAGTGCTGCAGTCCGGGAGGTTGCCTGGAAACTTACTGGTATTTCCATCTCTGTTGCAATCCAGAAGAAGTTGGATTTACTACTAGTCATATCAACAGATTAGATGGAAGGAGAGTGAGGGCAGGCAGGAAAAATAAGCACAATTTCCTTCTATCCTCTGTCTGTCAGCAGGAAGTATGACCCAGGTATAGGGAGAGTTTTCCTCCTTCAAATAATCTGGAGAAGAGACTTCCCTCACAAGAGTGCCCAGCAGTCTGAGCTGTAGTTGATATCAGATACAGTCAAGGTAATACCCAAGAGAATCCATGACGATTTCCAGACCCCTGACGTTCCTGATATTTTTACATATGCCTTTGTCTTAGGGTTTCCATTGCTGTGAAGAGACACCATGACCAAGGCAACTCTTATTAAGGACAACATTTAATTGGGGCTGGTTTACAGGTTCAAAAGTTCAGTCCATTATTATCATGGCAAGAATCATGACAGCATCTAGGCAGACATAGTGCTGGAGGAGTTGAGAGTTCTACATCTTGATCCAATTGCAATCAGGAGAATACTCTCTTCTGCAGGCAGCCAGGAGAAGGCTCTCTTCAATACTAGATAGGACTTGAGCATTGGAGCCCTCTGAAGTCTGCCTACACAGTGACACACTTCTTCCAACAAGGCCACACCTATTCCAACAAAGCCACACCTCCTAATAGTGCCAGTTCCCACAGTCCAAGCATATTCACACCATCACATTCTTCTCCCTGGCCCCCATGGCTTGCTCATACACGTGAGCCTATGAGGCTGTCTTAGTTAGGTTTCATTGCTGTAAACAGACACCATGACCAAGGCAATGTGGGACTGTGTAAAGGTATCTTGATTCATGGCTGGGCATGGGCCTGCAACCCCGGGACTCTAAGTGAGAAATGGTAGGCATTCAGCCACTTCCCCAGAACCCAGAGTCCTGACACACAGTCTCATCTCCATAGACCTACATTGTTCAGTCATGTAGGCCATTGCAGCCCCTCCCAAAGTGCACAGGTAGAGGGCGTGACCATAGGTCTCAGGCCCTAGGGATTTACATACTAATGAAGGCCAGAGGGTGAGCAAATTAAGCATTCCTCCCCAGACCCCTTTTTCCCTCCCTATTTAACCCAGGACTGGCCTGAGTTTCATGGGGGTACATCCAGATCCATCCACCATCCGCCATGACAATAAACACTTTTTGAACCAAGGACTTCCTCGTGTCATTGGGGCCTGCTGTTGCCAAAGCCTCCAGCCTTTGGAACCTTAGACGTTTCTCCTGTATGTGGGACCCGCCAGCGTGGAAAGCCTCCGGGACCACCTCCACCACTGTGGCCATTTTTTCCCACAAGGCAACTCTTATAAAAGACAACATTTAACTGGGCCTGGATTACAGGTTCAGAAGTTCAGTCCATTAACATCATGGCAGGAAGCTGGCAGCATCCAGGCAGACATGGGGCTGTAGAAGTAGCTGAGAGTTCTTCATCTTGAAACAATTGCAGCCAGGAGAGACTGGCTTCCAGGTGGCTAAGAGGAGGGTCTCAAATCCCATCCCCACAGTGACACACTTCCTCCAACGAGGCCACACCTCCTAATAGTGCCACTCCCTATGCCAAACATATTTAATCCAGCATAGAGGCCATACCTAGCCATAGCATAATGCAAAGTACGTTTAGTCCAACTTCAAAAGTCTCCCGTGTCTATCACAGTCTCAACAATGTTAAAAGTGCAAAGGTGAAAGTCTCTTCTGAGATTCATCCAATCACTTAACTGTGATCTCCTATAAAATCCAACATACACTACCTTTCCAAAACATAATTCCACAGTGCGGAAATACTGAACCAAAGCAAGACAGAAAACCTGCTGGGCAAACTTCAAACTCTGCATCTCCATGTCCTATGTCAAGGTGCTCTTCAAATCTCACAACTTCTTTCTCTTAGGCTGGTTCCACTCCCTGTTAGCAGTTTTCCTCAGCAGGTATCCCATGGCTCCTCTTTCTCTAACATCTTGGGGTCTCCAAGACAAAGTCAACTTCATAGCAAGCATGCTGTGAAACCATGACTTCAAAACCAGTTCTACCTGGGTGATTCTTACATATTACCCATTCCAGCTGCCAGCACAAAGTCTATCTCTGGAACAAAACTTCTTTGTGGTCTCAGAAAACACTTACAAGAAAAATTCACCTCACTGATGCTCATCTCTTTGTAATCACTGCTAATTCCTTCGATCCAGCCAGCTAACTAGCATCAATTATCCCAGTAACCCTGTCTATTCTTGTTTGTTTTTGTTGATAAAGGCTTTTATTTCTTTTGAGAAATTCAGTTTACATTCCAGCCACAGTTCCTCTTCCTCCTTTCTTTCTAGTCCCACCCTTAAAAATCCTTTCCCCCATTACCCCTCCCATTGAGTACCTCCTAACCCTGGGACTTCTGGTCCCAGCAGGACTAGGTCTATCCTTTCTCGCTAAGGCCTACCCAAGCAGTCCAGGTAGGGCATGGGGATACAATATCAGGAAATAGAGATCAAGACAGCTCTAGCTTCACTTGTTAGAGGACCCACATGAAGACCAAGCTGTACATCTCTTATATATGTGGGGGTGGGTGGGGCTAAGTCCAGCCAATGTATGCTCTTTGGTTGATGGTTTAATCTGTGAGAGTTGACAGGATACAGGTTAGTTGATTCTGTTGATATTACTGTGGAGTTCTTTTCACTTTTGGGGTCCTCAGCTGTTCCCTCAACTCTTCCATTAGGGTCCTGGAGCTCTGTCCAGTGTTTGGCCTTGGGTTTCTGCATCTGTTTCAATCAGTGGCTGGGTGACGCCTCTCAGAAGACAGTCATGTTAGGCTTCTGACTGCAATCATAATACAGTATTATTAATAGTGTCAGATATTGGTGCTTGCCCATGGAATAGATGTCAAGTTGGTCCAGTCACTGGTTAGCAATTCCCTCAATCTTTGTACCATTCTGTCCCTACATTTTTTGCAGAAAGAAAAAGGTTTCCATCAAAACTTTAGTGATTGGTCTTGTGTCCTTATCTCTCCACTGTGGAGGGGGTCCTTCCTGGTGACAGTAGGTAGACTCTTCATGTTCCAAATCCCCAACAACATGTGATTCCACTGAAAGACCCCCAAAGGGAGACCCTCACTTGGGTCTCTGAGAGGGCACGGACCCAATGATACTCTAGAGACTGTCTTGCTGCAAACACACGGGGCCAGTTTATTGTCAGAGCTCCAGAATGATATGTTCCTCACGCAGGAAGTAGAGGAATATACCTGAGGCCTAAAAGCTTAGGGTTTATATAGGCAAAGGCCAGGGGGAGCAGGAGGTTGTGGCGCAGTCACACACAATTGGTTGTTTCAAATATCCGCAATTTGTGTAAGCAGATCCCAGGCAGGGGTTTGACTAATCTCACGGGAACAGCCCCTGGTTCCTGTGGCCTTGGGACCTGGGATGGATGGTTATCTGAGCCAACAGACCATCTGGCTGAATTTTATTCTCAAGTCCTTGGGACCTTTGGTGGGAGTTTTTCCAGAGGAGGCTAAGTCAAACATCACAGGAACAGATGAGTGCCTCATTATTGTTCTCAAGGAATTTATCCTTGAGCATCCTCCCTATCTTTCACAGCTGGCTGATTCCCGGAACACTCAATTGACTTTTGTTTCTCCAGCTCTGTATCTTTTATGACGATCTTGGGCTAGCGAGTTTGCTGACCTATTTTCTTAACTACTTGTGCTTATGAATCAAGGCTTTCTGCTATATATTTTTTTAAAATTTCTTCTTCACCACTTGAGTTTTTGATCTTAGTCATAATGATGGGTGTAAGATAGAATCTCAGAGTCATTTTGATTTGGATTTCTCTGATGAGTAAGGAATGTGAACATTTCTTTAAGTGCCTCAGTGTGCAGTTGTTAGCTCACGTGTGTGCAAGGGCATGGTTCCTTTTGGGGTGTTGTGGTTCCGGGAAACAGATGTGCAGAATTTTGACTGAGTTCACTCCATGCAGAACCAGGCGGATGCTGTGGGGCTCTGCCGGGGCACAGGGAGATCTCAGTCAGAATTCCTGTGGGGGCAGGGCTTTTGATTGGTCATCTCCAGGCCGAGGTGGCTGACTCAGGAGACCATTGATCTGTCCTTGGGCTCCCAGATGCTGATGGGGGAGCCACTGAAGAAGAGAGATGTGGGGGCATATGGGGCTGGCCTGCAACCGAGAGAAATGAGGGGGGGCGAGCTCCGAAAGCACCCCCTGAGAAAAGAGACTCTTTGTTACTTGCACTCGGTGGCTGAATTATTGCTGGCTCAGCACTCACTTGGCCGGAACGCAGAGAGGTCCTTCATGGGAGATTAGGTGGCAGTGGCGGCAGCAGTGGCAGAGG